TCTCTGCAGCACTGCATGCATGCACATTGAAAGGTTTTATTTTTAATCATCTTAAGAGGTTTGAAAGTGTTAAAAAGATTTAAAGATGATTAAAAATAAAAGCCTTTTAATTTAAATCTTTTCAACACTTTCAAACCTCTTAATTCATTTTAAAAAGTAAAATAAAATGAAATAAATAATTTAATGCACATTCAGTGAAATGTAATTGATGCATGCGTTCAGGTGTACGTGCACCCGAAACCTTGTTGCCACTTAGAAAGAAAAGCCTCAAAATAAATATTTTTATTTCAACAAATAAATTGAAGTTCAAAAGTATGCATGCGGACATCAATTTATTTATTATTATTTTAAAAGATTTCTAATAAAATTAAAAAGTTCGAAATTATCACCTTTACATTATTGTTTTATTATTTTGTTATTTTCTGCCTTTCACCATTTATTCTTTTATTGTTTATTTTGGTATAGTTTTCATCTCCGTGACGGTATTGGGATAAGCAAGCCACTAGGCTTTAGGGTTTAGGGTTTAGGGTTTAAGGATTAGGGCATAGGGTTTAGGGTTTAGGGTTTAGGGCTTAGGGTTTAGGGATTAGGGTTTAGGGTTTAGGGTTTATTTCATTTATTTGAAAGCACTCTAAATGTATTTTTCGTACTGCAGGCTCTGCAAAATTAAGCTGTTGAGTGTCAGGAGCGAACTGGCCAAACCCTAAACCCTAACCTTTAAATCCTAAACCCTGAATCCCAAACAATAAATCCTAAACCCCAAACCCTAAACCCTAAACCCTAAACCCTTGGCTACATGCCTTGCTTGTAAGTTCGAATCCAAAGGCAATGGTGGTGCTGAAGAGTTATCTTTTGCAGCACTAGAGAGGGCTAAACCTTGCACCCTAAACCCTAAACCCTAAACCCTAAACCCTAAACGCTAAACCCTAAATCCGAAACCCTAAACCCTGTACCGTATGTTCTAAACTCGAGAAACAAACTCTAAAGGCTAAATTCTTGAACCTAAAGCCTGTACTGTGAGCTTTCAAGCCAAAGCAGCCCTAAACCCTAAACCCTAAACCCTAAACCCTAAAAGAGATCCTCATTTCTCCGCTACTAGCAAGAATAGGCGCAAAACTATTTTGGCCTCTGCAGCGACACCGCGAGTAGCAAAATCAGCAGCAAGCAGCAGCAAAAGCACTAACGGCAAGCAGCAGCAAGCAGCAGCAAGCAGCAGCAAGCAGCAGCAAGCAGCAGCAAGCAGCAGCAAGCAGCAGCTATGAAATCAGATGCTAAAAGAGGAAACAGCAACTGAATCAGCAACAAGCAGCAGCAGCAGCAAGGAAGTCAGCAGCAGCAGCAGCAGCATCAGCAACTACGTCAGCAGCAAGCAGCGGCCGTAGCAGCAGCAGCGACGATGTAAGCAGAAAGCAGCAGCCACAGCAGCAGCAACAGCAGCAGCAGCAGCAGCAAAGAAGACAGCAGCGTTAATTGCCGAATTCGCTGCTGCAGCGACAGCACCAAACACGCAGCAGCATTTTGATTTTCTTTCGGCAGCAGAAAATTTAATTAAATGAATTTAAAGTTTTTTGAATTAGTTTTAATTAACATGTTTGCTGCTGTAGCTGCCACTCTTGTGCTGCTGCAGTTGCTACTATTGGTGCCCTTCGTTGCTGCAGCAGCAGTATGAGCACCTGCTGCTGCTGCTTCTCCTAGTCGCTCTCAATGCTGTTGCTGCCGCCTTTAGAGCTATTGCTGCTGCTGCTGATGCCGATACTTTTTGCTGCCGTTGCTGCTGCTACTGCTGTTGCTATCAATGCTGCTGCTGCTGTTGTAGCTGCTGCTCCCCTCCTCATTAGTACTGAGAACAAATTCAATCTATTATTATTAAAATTCTAGGAGGCCGGCTGCAGCTGCTGCTCTCTTTTGCTGTTGCGCTGCATCTGCTGCTGCAGCAGCAAGCAGCTGGAAGTCCAGCAGCAGTTCAAAACGCAATTTGGCTTTTGTTTTGCATGCTTATTTGCTGATACGCATATTTGAATTGAGACGAAAACCCTTTCTTTTTCTTCATTCTCTCTAAATTTTTATCTTTTTATTCTCTAAATACAAATTAAAAAAAAATTAAGTATATTTTTTACCTTTTAATTCCCTTTATTTGGATAATTTGCATAATTCACTCAGCATGAGCGAGCGGGCGGTGCAGACACATGAATTAGAAGCAAAACTCTAGGAAATATCGGAAAAAATCGCAAGAAAAAACAAAAGACTTGAGAATTCAAATTAATGATTATAAATTTGCACATTTTAAAGAATTAAACTCTAAAAAGTTCAAAAAATGAAGAAAATTGTGCGCTGATCACTCCCCCAGCAGCCAGGTGTCTGTACACCTCCGCGGTGGCGCTGGGGTCTTTGCGCGTCGGGTTGACTGCTCGATCTACATTTAACTCTTTTGCACTTTTTAAGAATTAAAGTCAAATTTAAATGCATTAAACTGTTTTTCAAGGTGGCTACGACCAGCTTGGGGCCCCCCAGTGCCTCCCGAATGCTGCTGCTGCCGCTGCTTCTCTCCCGCTCATCAGCAGCAACAGCAACAGCAGCAGCAGCACAGCAGCGCCTGGCGTCTGCAGCAGCCCACAAGAGGCGTCTCTTAAGTTTAGTTGCTTCATTTTTTCACAATTTTCGTTTAATTTTTACTTTTTAAGTTTCTGTGAGCCGCAACTCGAGAGCAGCAAGGACGACGGATCGATCGCTGAGTTCCACTGCTGTTGCGGCCGCGCCTATGACCAGTGGTCCACCTGCAGCAGCAGCAGCAGCAGCGTTTCCGCCAGTTTCAATATCATTTTTAAGGTCTTTTTAAGTTAATTTTGCTGTTGTCCTCCCCAGCAAGGGAGACCCCCAGCGCACTACCCTCTGAGTTGCAGCACAATTCCCGCAACAACAGCAGCAGCAGCAGCACCTCTGCTAATCTTTTTCTACTTGCTATTTTTGAGCTTTCAAGCATCCTTGTGGAGGCCTCAGGTCGGGCGCACTCGTAGTCAGCAGCAGCAGCAGCAGCAACGGCAGCGGCAGCAGCAGCACTACTAGTCAACTAGCGCAGAGCGTTGCCCGGGCTGCAGCAAGTCGTTGCCAACTGCAGCCGCAACGCCATCAACAGCAACAACAGCAGCAGCAGCAACTGTAGCTGCAACAGCAGCAATTGCAGCTGCAGCAGCAGCAGCAGCAATTGCAGCTGCAGCAGCAACAGCAGCAGCAGCAGCAAGACACGGAGGAATGGGAGCAAGTTGTACCCATCCTGCTGCTCCCGAGCACTCACGGGCTCTTTCCCGCGAGCGGCACATGCGTGTGTCTCGCCCCAGCAGCAGCAGCAGCAGCAGCAGCAGCAGCGGCAGCATGCAGCGCCGCCGCAGCAGCGCCTTGAGCAGGAGCAGCAGCTCCGCCAAGAGGAGCAGCAAACTGTCAATTAGCCCACCGAACTTCGTGTCTCTGCGTCGGAAGCAAAACGAATTGCACGTTTTCTGAGTTTGCTGCTGCTGCTGCTGCTGCTGCTGCAGGCGAGACCAGGGTGCAGCAAGTAAACGCCAGCAGCAACAGCCTTTGCTACTGATCAGCCCCCACTCAGGGCACTGTGTCCTTTTCGCTGCCCAGTAAACAGGCAGCAGCAGCAGCGGCTGCTGCTGCTGCTGCCTGCTGCTGCTGCCTGTGAAGTAGCAGCAGCAACAACGGCACTGGCTGCTGCTGCCCCGCTGCTGTCTGTGAGGCAGCAGCAACAGCCGCAGTATTTGTTGCTGCACCACTGCAGCCTATACGGCGGCAACGACAGCAACTGCTGCTGCTGCTGAGCCGCTGCTGCCTATGAGGCAGCAGCAACAGCAGCAGCAGCATGTGCTCCTGCGCGGGTGCTGCTGTGAGGCGGCAGCAGCAGCAACTGCAGCGCTGAGAAGCGAACTTTATGGCTTTCATCTTTCATTATTTTTCGTTATTGCTGCCGCTCCCGCAGCTGCTGTTGCTGCTGCTGCTGACTGTCGCTGTCGCTGCTGCTGTCAGTGCTGCTGCCAAGCAGAGGCGGAGCAGCAGCGCCGCCCAAAGCCAGTTCCCCGCTGCTGCTGCTGCTGCTGCTGCTGCTGAGAGACAAAGTACTGGGATGGGGGGGAGCTAGAGTTAGCTGCTTCACGTTGTAGCAAGCCAGCTTTTGCTGCTTCTGACGCAGCACCCAACGCTCCAAGGGGGGCCTCCATGTCTGCAGCAGCAGCAGCAGCAGCAGCAGCAGTAGATCCAACAGCAGCAGCAGCCACACTGCTTGCAGCAGCAGCTGCAGGCTCTCTGCCCAGCAGCAGTGCAGTCTTATGGGCCTTGTGTTCAGAAGTCGCAGTGGCAGCAGCAGCAGGGTCGCCATAGGAGCAGCAGCAACAGAGTCGCCATAGCAGCAGCAGCAGCAGCAGAGTCGCCATAGCAGCAGCAGCAGCAGAGTCGCCAGCCGCAGAGTCGCCATAGCAGCAGCAACAGTCACGGTAGCAGCAGCAGTAGAGTCACGGTAGCAGCAGCAACAGGGTCAAGTAGCAGCAGCAGTGTGAGCAGCAGGCCGACAAGCACAGCAGCAGCAGCGACCGCTGCAGCAGCAGATACATTAGGGCAAGGAGAAGCAGCAGCAACACAAAGGCAGCAGCAGCAGCAGCAGCGACGGTAGCAGCTGCAGAAGCAGCAGAGGCAGCATCCCTGGTCAAGCAGCAGCGCCAACAGCCCGAGAAGCACAGGAACAGAAGCAGCAGCAGCAAAGCCCTAGCACAGCAGTAGCAGCAACAGCAAAGCCACAGCACAGCAGCAGCAGCAACAGCAAAGCTACAGCACAGCACCAGCAGTAACAGCAGCAGCAGCAGCAACAGCAGCAGCAGCTGACGTATGGGGTGAACTCAGGCCTGCACTCTTCAGGCACAATCTCTGCAACGTTGCTTCTGAAGGCCCATTTGGCTGTCTTGTGTCTCTTGGCTTTGATGCGCCGCAGCTTGTCAGCATAAGAAGCAGCAATGGGTCGGAACCAACTGCAGCAGCAGCAGCAGCAGCAGCAGCAGCTGGCGTGCACCTCCCTGTCCGGCCAACGCCCCCCCGAAACCGCCGCCCCCCCGCCCCGCAGCACGCCAGCATATCAGCACCCCCGCAGCACAGCAGCAGCAGCAGCAGCAGCCCCACGCCAACAGCAGCAGCAGCAGCAGCAGCAGCAGCAGGACCTGTCCGGCCAGTGGGCCCAGGAGTCGCCAGGGGCCCCCAGAAGGTCCACCTTGAGGCCCCTGGCGCGGGCAATGGTTTGGCGGCTTTGGATTTGCTGCAGCGCCCGCAGCAGCGCTTTGCTGCGGCTGAACCAGCGGCTGCGAGCAGCAGGACCCACGAAGCTCACGCTGCAGTTGTCGAGCCCCGTGAGGTACAGCAGCGGCAAGAACCGCAGGTTCACCCGCAGCCCCCGGCCCGCCGGACGCGGCAGAACTGCAGCAGCAGCAGCAGCAGCAGCGGCAGCAGCAGCAGCAGCAGCAGGGGGTCGGTGGGGGCGGTGGCGCAGCGCCGGAGGGAGCGGCGACGGCAACGGGCAGCAGCAGCAGCAGCAGCAGGGAAGGGAGGTGCAACGGCAACAGGCAGCAGCAGTGGTAGCAGGGTCAACGGCAGCAATGGCAGTAGAGTCAACGGCAGCAGCAGCAGCTGCAGCAGCAACAGTAGCAGCGGCAGCAGCAGTGGAGAAAACAGAGGCGGCAGGAACAGCTCAATTAGCATCTGTAGCAGCATTAGCGTCAGTAGCACAAGCAGCAAAGGCAACAGCACAGTAGCAGCAGTAGCGGCAGAAGCAGCAGCAGCAGCAGCAGCGTAGGAGGCCTTCGGCTCGTTTAGACGATTTGCTGCCTCCCTAGATTTCTATGTATGAGTCTAGCTGAACGGCAGTTTATCTCTTTGCTGCTGCTGCTGCTGCTGCTGCTGCTATTTCTGGCTCCGTAGCTGCTGCTGGCCGTGCGCGTGTCTCTGCTGCCAGCAGCAGCAGCAGCAGCAAAAGCATCACCAGCAACTAGCCCCACCAAGGCGCAGCCGCTGCCCCTACCACCGCTGCCGCTGCCGCTGCTGCTGCTGCTGCTGCTGCTGCTGCTGCTTACTTTTGACGTGGGCGGAGTATTCCTGCGCGTGCTGCGGCGTGGTGAGGGTTTTGTCTTTGTCGAGGTCCAGCAGCTTCATGTTTTGAATTGCTGCTAAAGCAGCAGCACTTCGAGCTTCTTTGGGTTTGCTGCCAAACCCGATCCCGATCCCAAACAGCCCCCGCCCGTTCCCCACAGCCACGATCGCCCGGTAGTAGTACACCCGCCCCTCTGCAGCCACAAACCCCAAACCCTAAACCCTAAACCCTAAACCCTACACCCTAAACCCTAAACCCTAAACCCTGAACCCTGGTCTTTCAGAAGGCTCAGCGGCTGTCCGCAGCACACTGCAAAGCGCAAACGCTGAAGCGCCTTGTTTGGTTTGCCTTTGGCCAGCGGCAACTCCTTGGTCCCAAACCCCTAACCCTAAACCCTAAACCCTAAACCCTAGCCCTTGCGTTTGCTGCGCCTGCAACCACCAACAGCCCCGAACCCTAAACCCTAGCCGGTAAACCCCAGCCCGCGCGCCGGCCTTGCCCGCAGCGGACAACGGCCCAACGCGCTCCCCGTAAACCCTAAACCCTAAACCCTAAACCCTACGTTTGGTCATGGCCATCATTCTGTTGGCCTGCAGCAGCGTCTGCCGCAGCTCCTGCAAACAAAGCTGGGGATCGACTCCTCCCCGTTCCCTGACATAAACCCCTCTTGCTGCATCTCGCACAGTTTGGCTGGGCCGTTTCCAGCGCCACGCAGCAAACACCAAACCCTCGTCTGCTGCTGCAGCAGCCCCGCTGCTGCTGCTGCTGCTGCTGCTGCCGCTGCTGCTGCTGCTGCTGCTGCTGCCGCTGCTGCCTGCTGCTGCTGCTGCTGC